AACGTTACCATTAGCAATTACCGAGAGTGCCACTTGACCTAGAATGTGTTGCTGCTTGGATTCTGTTGAAAACGTAATTTTCTATGACATAGAGAATGAGGTGCATCATTGCGTTGTTTCATGTTTGAAGTATAAATGGTTACATCACACAGATCTGGAAAAACAACTGTTTTCAATTCTAAACTGAGAAGCGTTGCCCTTGACGCTTGTGGTGCAAGACTGTAACATGTGGCTTCTCGGCATGGCCTCTGAGATTACGTGGAGTTGTTGATGTGCTACAAGATCTTGGAGGCTACATGTCAAGACTTGTCTTGTATGCTCTCTCCACCGGAAGAACATGTTGACTGATGATATGTCCTATTTAAAAGCTTCTAATAAGAAAATCAGGCATTGCTTGGTGTTGCATTTTTGCAAAGTTTGCTTCAGCACTATGCACCACTCATTGGTAATCAACTTAACAAAAGTACAATTTTGCTGAAGAATCTATTCAAGTGTTGCTGTTATGTTTACACTTGACTGTCAGGAGTAATAGATAGGGCCCGCTTGTTGCTCCGCATTTTGAAGATGCCTGTAAGACTTTCTTGTGAAAAATAATTTATCTGTGCAGTCGATATGTTGACTCAATTTGTATTCTCATAGATTTATTTATGTCTGAAAAACATTCATGCACAGAGATTCTCAAGGAAACACACTGTAGAAAGCGGTGATTTGTCACAAACAGATATGCCAGTGCATGTGCGGCAGAAATTTCATGGTTGTGTGTGTCTGCCGTAGTTATCATGTATGTGGTGCTTTCATATGGTGCATCTCTATCTCTTGTACCAGTGGAATTGGAAATTCTTGCTATTTCTTCACCATATGTTAATATTTTTATGCTATATTCAGCCACGCTTGCATTTGTGGCACATTTGAGAAATTTACTGAAGAAGACGTTCTTGTGATCATAAATAGTTTGATGAAGTATGACCATGTTTACTTTAGCTTTGTTATTTAATTGTGCTCATGTTTTTGAGATCAAACTGTCATCACTGGCCTCTGTTAATGTCACATTACAAGTGGGGATTAGAAACATTGAACATGGGAGCTATTCTAAAAGCTGGCCTGAAAAATTGTGCAGTTGTAAGCTTAAATAATAAATTGTGGATTTGCAAACTGAGCATGAGGTGCATCATTGCATTGTTTCATGTTTGAAGTATAAATGGTTACATCACACAGATCTAGAAAACAACTGTTGTAAGCTTAAATAATAAATTATGGATTTGCAAACTGAGCAAATGTCAATTCTCTTTATTCATGTTTTTTTTGTATTCCCAGACTTGGAAACGGTGTTGCAGGAAACGGGTTTCTGCATTTTTTGATCGACATCAACATATCGTAAACTTCATTGTTTACATGTGAATTTTGATGATTTATTTGAGACAAACATTAACTAGTGAACATTTTCTACCATGGACATAAACTTAAGCCAAGTTTATGTGGTGGTAGCATTAATACCGATTACGTCTCATCATACAAACTTGCGCTACTTTTTTGGAACTTCGAATCTTTCCATTCTTTTCATTTTATGACAGCATCATCTTTGCAATGCTATATAACACTACAATATTATTTCCTTGGGTGCTAGGACTACTAAAAAACATAACCGGTACATAATTACTTTAATTATTAAATTATTAGTTTGGCATTGCTGCTTAGTCACTATTGTGTAGGCATGGTATTATATAATTTTCATTAATATGCTCAAATCCTAGAAATAGTTTAATGTCTTCTCAGAACTAATTGGTGTACAGTTTGAGCAACAACCTCGAAAAATATAAAATCAAAGTTATTTGTTTTTTTTTTTGCAAAAGCAATTTTATGGACACTCAAGTATAATTTTTGCCATCCCCATCATGTTCTGTGTAAAGTCCTAATCAGTTGCATTGCCCCACGCATTGTGTGCTCTGTGTTCCCAGGGAGGTAAAGCTTGTCAAGGCTTCAAGCTGGTACAACCTGAGGAGGGATGAAGCCAAGTATGCTGGACGACTCCGTCAGGCGAAGGAGCGTGAAGGGATGCCAGCCGGGGAGGGGGCGGGGGCTGCATTGCTTGTGCAGTATCTCAACAGATATTAGTAATGGCTATTACCCATGTACACTATGTACATTATGTGCTGTCATCATTTGCTTCATGTTGAGGGGGCAGACAGCAGAAAAGCCGCTTTGGTAGCCTGGAGCGGCCGTATATCCTTGTGCCAGCACTTTGTTGTTGCATAATATCGGATTCTAAAGAAGCTAACTGCTAGGCTTGCCTCGTATAACATCACAATTCATTGCTATCGTAATCAGTGCGCCGCCCTCGCAATGAGATTGAGTTTTTGCTGTAGTTTTTGGCAGTTGAACCTTGAGGGTTGCATCTTACCTGGGAAGGCCTTTGTTGTATTTTACATTCATTATGAGGATATATTCTGGTGCATGTTAATGTTTGTGAAAGGACTGAGGGTCATTGTTTATTATCTTTTGGAATAGATTGGAGAGGTGAAAAGTTGTTTGCTGTGTTGAGTTTAACATCATCAACACTATTCGCTCTTGATGTTTTCTGTAGTGTCAATTTACTTGCAATATATCTGCCCTAGAGCATGAAGCGACATCATTCCCTTTCAGTTTTTTGATGTCGTACAGACCATCTTACCAAGGTCTGATGTTGTACTAGCTCGTGGCTTTAAGATCAGTTTATGTTGGAAAAAGTCAAAGCTGTTCGTTAGCCTAGGTGTACCTGGTACTGCATATACCTGTTGTTAGGTGATGTGTTCCGATTGGTGCCATTTCTTCATGCATTTATGGATTGTCAGCATTGTTTTTATAAGCTGTTTTTATCATGCTTGGGTGATTCTGCTTGGCAAGTCCATCCCTGTCTAACTTGGTCTATATGGAATATTAGCTTTAGCATGTGTTTCACTGTTTCATTAGCTATAAGCATTTGCACGATCTTATCAAATACATTTTGTCTTTTTTTTTTTCATTCAATTAATGAAAATAAGTGTGTATAGTGTACTCCACTGGTAATGACACCTCTTGGCTGAAATTAGAAGCAGCTAAGCAAAAACATTGACTGTTTCCACCTATTGACAGCTACTTCGTGGGGTGGTTACTTTGAAAAAATTGTGCACAAAGCATCACTCAGGCAGATTTTAAGAAGGAAAGTGGCTAAGCTCTCTCTTCCAATGGGACAGTACTGTAAAATATTTCTAAGAGAGGAAGATTTGTTTTCTTTGTCTTAGGCTTCATTTGGGAGAAATACCAGACAAATTGCAAATTATTGTTTTACCCAGAAACATTTTACATATTTATAGTTTCTTGTCATGAAAGAGAGACATTATTATGCTGTAGAATATAATTAAAGTTGTTGGTCATATTTTTAGTAATACAGAAAAAACTTGTTAGTTCAGATTTCACGAGACCAAAAAATGTATGAATTAATCTTATGCTGAATTATCAAAATATCAGGAAGACAATAAACAGATGTCCGTTACATCAGTACGCTTCAACTGGCTTGATGAATACTTAAGTTCTGTACCTATTTTGCTTAAGAGTGGTGAACAAGCTCCAGTTTTTGTCATCTCACTCTCCTGTGCTTTAATAGCCCAGAATGTGCTCTGCACTCCTCCTCGCATTAGGTGGACTATGCGCATATGACAATAGTTTTTTTGCAGGTGAACTGCCCTCTACTGGTAACTTGTTTGTAGCGATGTAGTAAACTAGTTTTGTGCGAGCATACTCAACGTGGCTGCAAGATCCAACGTGGCTGCAACGTGGCGACAGCTTTCACCACGTTTTAGTTTTGCGACACTATGTGATCATTGCTTCTAGTTTTAAAAAAAGCTGCCGATTGTCGGATCTGCATGAGGACGAAAATGGGGCTATTAACTGGTGAAGATAATGACGTGGACAGCATTTCCTCGTTTTGGTAGTCCATGAATGCGGTTTTCGTGTGTTCCTTCTTTTGTGTCACGCATTTGTGCTTGGCATGCTCCAAAGATCGTACAAATGAACCAGATCGCGGTTAACTATGACTGAATTAACGAGAGCTTGGTGCCAATAAACAATGCACCCAGGAATACGTCTGAATTATTCAATTTTTAAAATTTAGGAGGGTCGAATGAACGAGCTTTTACTGTATTTTTATTTAGGTTAAAGATGCGAAAAAACTGTTTAACTGAAGCTTGTTAGTCTGAAGCCTGTGGAAAGCAGACAGATATTGGTACCCCATTTCTGTTTACTGAGGATTTCTTTTTAGTAGGTGTCATTTGTACAAGAGTCATCTGGAGTTACCTCCGAGCAATGTGACAGTGACCTAAGAGCTTTGACTTGGGCGACTCCTGCAAGTGCACTTAAATATCTCTGGAAATGTTTCGTTTGCTGTTATGGTTTTACCAATGTGTGGTCAGCTTCTATCCCATCTCTAGTTATGGTAGTTTGATGAGACAAAGACTTTGTTTCAGGCAATTGTGCTGATGCGGTACTAATGAATGAGATAACGTGGGTTTGTCAGTGTTGCATCTTTCAAAGAAACAAACACTCGGCACTTCTAGTACACCACCAACAACAGTTTTTATAGTGAAGACCAGGCATGACTATTTGCTTTGCATGCCATAGGAATGGAGACCATGTCAAGACATCAGGCGGGAGAAACAAAAAATTATGAAAGCAATAGCTAGAAAACAATTTTTCCAAATCACAATCAAGCTGTGACGTATTATGGCCACCGCACGAAATGCAGCTGTTTAGGGGACACCATTACTGATGGCTTGTTTGGCGCAATTCATTTCACTGGGCTCAGGGTCTACAATTAAGTGGGCAATACCTCCTTTATATTTATGTGGAATGAGAGTCTTGCTAAGCCATGGCTGGCATGGCATACCTAGGAATAGGGGAAAAATGAAGGTCGACCTCAAGGCATTTCTTTTACCTTTGTGTTGCTCATAGTCTTTTTTTTTTCATACTCTTATGTTGTCTCCTTTCAGTGCAAGACGAGGATACTCCTAGCTCTGGCCCGACACAATTGAAAGCAGAAGAAGCAGGAGTGGTTTTGCACGATACCAGGCCGCAGCCGTCCACGTCATCCTTGACGTTGGTACCGCTTGGCGAAGCACTGCACGCAGTTGCCGCACCGGCCCCGCCGCAACATGACGGCACATGCTGCGACCGCCGCAGGTGCTTGTACTGCGGTAAGCCGTTTCCGACCAAGTGGCACCTGCAACGCCACATACGCATCCACACGGGTGACAAGCCCTTCCCATGCCACCTCTGTCCGTTGACCTTCAACCAAAAGAGCCATCTTAAGTCGCACCTACGCAGTCACCTTAAAGCAAAGTGCTTCAATTGCCGGTGATGCTAAGCTCAATATGGTCAGCTGTTGGGCTAGTTGGTCTGACATCATTATCATTTTTGCTTAGGAAAGCCGGATTTGCTTAGAAAAAAAACATGACAGAAGGAATGCTCATTTCTGTCGTCAGTTTTTTTTCTCTAGCCAAATCTGCGCTTCCCTAAGCACAGATAATGTAAGATGTCCCTCTCTGGAAAAAAGTCACTTCTGAAGCACTTGGAAAACATGCAGTGTGCAGACATTATCTTCACGATGGCAAATGCTTGCAGCTGCTAAAACATGTGGGCTATTTGGTTTGTATTCATCATGACACACAAGGCCCTGACCTTGTCACTTTTCTTCTACGTTCTTGTTTGTCATGCTCAGACATGCTTCATGCTTACAGCTCAACCACAACAGTGTAAAGCTGGGGCAATTTGGTTGACAGTCACTGTAAGAGCAGTGCAAATTTGGCTGCTACGTAAAATGAAGAAATACAAAAATAGGGCACTGAAATAACCACAGACAGATTTACTGTAGTGTGAAAGAATAAACACGCATGGGCCAGCATCATGCAGTTGTGAATTGTGTGGTTGCAAGACATATTTTTAAATCGTGCATGTCGTTATCAGGCACATCATGCAAAAAGCATGTGAGAATAGTGGGGTTTATCATACAAAGAATAAGAATGCCTGCTGCATTTCTATTACCATTTTAAAGCTAATAATAAAGATAATTAGTATAGAACATTTTAAATGTCATTAGTATGAGAGTGCATGAGCAGATTGTTTTTATTCTTTCAAACTTAAACTTTCGAACTGTATTCAACTAACAGAGCACTGGCACTTTTAGATGGCACCATTTAATGATGCCATGGTGAACGAGACTGTTTAGGTCTTCTAATGCATTTTGAAGCCATCAAAATTAAAATGTATTTTTTCAAGGTTCTTTCAAAGCCCTTGAATTTTTTCTTAGAAGCCCTTGTAGTTAAGATCTTGTGTTGTAGAATGGCTTTCAATAGGCATGTCCGAAGAGAAAGCTTTAGGTTTTTAGCAAAAAAAAAATTCGAAGCGATTAGTGATTTGGTGGTATGATTTCAAATTGAATAGTTCGAATAGTATATACCTCAGATTATGAAAACAAATTAGCATATTTGACCTGACTGAATCAACCTGCACACATTTTTTAAAATACTGAAGCAAGACATGCAAATGCCATTGTGGAGAACAGGTATCATGTTTCACTGCGTGTCTGCCTTTATCAGTGTTTGTATGTTTTTCTGCTTTACACGCCTGTGTTGCTATAAAGGTAATTAAAAGTAGTTTGTCATAGAGTGTTCATAACACCCTTGCCTCATATTATTGACACAGCAGTTTCTGTGAATATGTAAGGTTCCCACCTTACATAAAAAAGGGGGGGGGGGGGGGCTCTCTACAGGAGGATACAAGGTACTTGTACAGGTTTTGTAATTCATGCTGAAAAAAATTTTTTAAAGGGGTCCCCCCTGCAATACTTTTTTAGCATGGTCAGATAAGCGCTGCCGATCGGTGGTAGAGGCTCCCGACCACACATGAGCCAAATATTATAGCACAGCACGCAGCGTGGAATTCACAATAACTTATGAAAATCAACTAAAATCTCGACAAATCACGTTATGCGCCCGAAAATCGCACGGCAACGACCCATCTATCAGGCATTGGCTGATTTGAACATGGTGCGCTCACTCGTTACTGAGATCGTCGTGGGAGGCCGCTACTTGTCCCCGCGCGCACATGCGATCACACTGAAAAAGCCGCACATTCAATGAAAAAAGTGCTCAAGGTCGCGAAGGGCACGTGACGTTTTTCTGTGGCCCTGCCATTCCTCCCTGCTTAGCTTCCAGCACTTTCATCGAGATGAGAGAAGAGAGAATGCAATTGCAGCATGCGTCTAACCTTTGTAAATTCACTCGCACTGGGCAGATTCCTAAAATTTCTGTGGCATTGAATTCATGAAGCAATAAGCTGTTCTAGTGAATCCATTTCAGGGTTACTTGAAAGAGTGTTTCAGGGCGCTTTAAGTTCGGTTCTTGACACACAATGTCATGTATTATAATGCTGTTTACCTTGTCAGGAGTATCAAGCACAAAAACAAAAAAAACAAAACTTAGCTAATTAACTCTTCCATTGGCATAAAAATAGGTGCCGTCTATTTATTTACCATTCATTTGGAATATGAAGCCCCATTAATTGATGTACACCTCGTTCATCACCAGGAGCCGACTCTCGTTCTTAGTTTGATATCTCTCGTCTTTCAAAAAACAGACATTGATGTTAATTTCGCTGCTTTGAAGGTGAATAATTTACATTCATGGTGCAAGCGTGTAACCACTGATCTCCTTTTTTTTGCTTTGGTCAAAAGACTGGTATGATTGGAGGGTTGAATCACCTTGCATTCTTATGTTCATGAGATGAAAATTGAAGATTGCATGAGAGTGTTGGTGACTGATAAAAAATATTTGGTATCTTCAAAATTGTTGAATTTATATGTACGAAATGGAAATAATAATAATAATAATAATAATAATAATAATAATAATAATAATAATAATAATAATAATAATTACAAATATATGATGGCTGAAAAATCTGACCAATGATGACTGGTCGTAGCTGCACACCAGCAACCGTTCCATCATTTAAAAAAAAAAAAGGTTGATCTGGTCTAAAACCGGGCAGGTAGCAAGCGTAGCACAATCCTTCTCCACAGATTTTTTGCTGTAGCCTTTGTCGTCCATGCTACGGCGAGGTTCCATATGGAGCCCAAATTGATAACGTCACCCTCCGTATTGCGTTGCTTGCTTGCAATCCAGAACAAGCACGAAGCAAACGTGCGGGCTGTCTCCATCGCATAGAGCACAAGAGGTGTCTCGGAAGTGGGGCTGCATGGCTCCAATAGGAATCGAATACGTGGCCAGAAAACAAGTCATCGTGGCCCCATGTGTATTATTACTTATATTTAGAGTGAACTTCGCACTTGAGCAGATAAAGCGAAGAAAAACAGTCTAATAAAACTAGCGAAACAGGAATGTGAGAATGACAACGCTTCTCGTTCACTGCTGATGATAGTGTGGTTAGGTATTACTGCGATCACTTGCCATTCGTATCACATTGCTTGTGACGGGCATAGCAAGTGTGTATCTGAAGCGCGCTCCACCGGGAATGTGTTATCTGTGTATTTATCTTTGTGCCACATTTCGTTTTGGAAATGCCCCTTTTCTTGAAGCGAGCACCGCCTTGGGTGCCGTGACACTTGTTCATGATCTTGCAGTGAGCAGCACTTGTTTTGCTTTGACTTGCTCCTGATCCTTTCATGCACATCGATTCATCGTTGTTTTGGCGTGACAATATCGTGTCTCAGGCATGGCAGTCCTGGCATGTCTCTGACACGCGGCGCTCACAGCAGCCAACATAGTAACCATAGCCATCAGTTAGCCTTTGGCATTCGTGGTTGTTACTTGTGAGAAATAATCACTGGAATGCAAGTTCATCTGCTGTCCAGGCTAATGTGAAAGAGGTAGTTTCTCAAAGAATAAATAAACACATGGCATTGTTTCATTCTATTTTACTATTGAATGAATTTAATGTTCAAGACGGTGCATAAAAGAAAGTGCGGTATCAGGATTAGTAGGTGGACTTAAAACACGCTTTGCTGCACCTGTTCTCATTTTTATCAGTCTTCAGGGTTGTGTCTGCAATTCTGTATTTCAACAGCTGTCTCCAGATATAGTTTTTTTGGTATTTATTGCATAGCATCTTTGTATTTTCTGGTGTGAAAGCAGTCTGTGGCCTGTTCTTTCTAAGTGGGTCGTTTTTGTCTGTGGCACCCTTATGTCAAACTTGTTAGAGGGAAAAAAGAGAGGATAATGTCTGCAATGCAGCTGTGATAGGTGTGACACCTATTGCCCCTTTTCTCGAGGCAAAAAGTCATTATGCTTGTCTTCATTTTTTCATATTTATTGTTTTTCAGCTGTGTTCGTGCATGTGATGCGTGAATGTTGTGAAAACTCAGGACGAGACATTTTATGATTTGTAGGTCAAAGTCGGAGTTGAACATTTTCCTGCACATGTTTCTTGTGTCCGACAGTAATGTTGACTCGACAATGTTTATATTTCTCGAAAGTGTACACTATCAAAATGTAAAGCTATCCTTTATTTTGATTCGAGCATGCTGCACTCATAGAAAGCACATGCTGGTAATGTAAGTGGCGCAGTAGTATTAAAACACAGCTGTTTACTTCTGCACAAATACTTCTTGTTTTTCTAACTTCAGTGTTCTTGTATTGAAATAAATTCTTGTTGGGATTAAGAATTTAGGAAATTCATTCAATGTTGACTACTGCTATCAGTGAGTCAACATTTACATCACTACTAATCCACAACAGCCGCTCAAGCAAAGCACCAGATTCCATGACTTCTAGGTGTAGCATCAAAAGGGATACTTGTACTTCGTACAAATTTGTGCATTCATTTACCAATTGTGCTGGCTTCATTCTGATTGGAACCTTCTAATAAACAACATTAATGTAGGAGCATGTGGAAAAATTTTAGTTGGTCTGGACTGGTCCAGTGTTCTCACTAAGTTGTCCCATAGCTGTATGTTGAAAGGACTTGAAACTTTGTGCTACAAATGCTTAAGGGTAATCAAGGATAGCCGTTTCATATTTACTGCAGACAACACACATTTTGTTCAGATGCAACAACGAATCAAGCTTATTTCGGTGAGCATTCATCGCCGAAACAAACAAGCGTTTATCCCCAAACATCTTCCAATATAGGTGTTGCTTGATATTTAAGCTTGTCTCACTTGGAAGCTACTGAGCAG